CACCCGAGCCTCTCAATCGCAAAGAAGCTATGGCAGGAGCCTTTAAGGAGCAGTGGTTAGCAGCGGAAAAGGCAGAACTGGAAAGTTTACTCGACCGGGGGACTTGGACTTTGGAGCCACTACCCAAGGGAAAGAAGCTCGTGGGAGTAAAATGGGTCTACCGGGTGAAGGTGAAGGGTGATGGATCTTTGGACAAGTTCAAGGCTCGTTTGGTCGCCAAAGGATATTCTCAAGTTCCTGGAGAAGACTACAATGAAATATTTGCTTCGGTCGCCAAGTTCACCAGTGTCCGCGCTCTTCTTGGTATGGCAGTACGAATGGATCTCTACATCATCCAGCTGGACGTCTCCAACGCCTTTCTTTACGGCATTTTAGAGGAAGAAATCTACATGGCTCAACCTGATGGGTATCATGATGGTACTGAGAGAGTCTGCAGGCTGCACAAGTCCCTGTATGGCCTGAAGCAAGCTCCACGGGTTTGGTATCACGCATTGGAGTCTGCCCTGCTGGCACAAGGTTTCACCCAGTCTGAGTATGACCCTGCACTCTACATCCTGCACACGGAGGTGCATGAGGTACTGTGGTTGATCGTGTATGTGGATGACATCCTCATGGTGTCAGGTTCTCTCTCCCTTCTCACCCACATCAAAGGTATGCTCACCAAGGAGTTTGTCATGACAGACATGGGTGAGCCATCATATTACCTTGGCATGAACATCATTCGTGACCGTCCTTCTCGCTCTCTATTTCTTTCACAAGAGCGATACATTCACAAGGTCCTCTCTCGCTTCGGCCTTCTCACCTGCAATCCTGCATCTACACCTCTCCCTTCTAACTTCTAGCATTCTTCTCCTTCCACTTCTGACCTTCAGCCCTCTCAGTCTGCACCCCTTTCTGGCTGGGACGAGTTTCACGAGGCTCTTGCGCCTTCATCCTCTTCTTCCATTTTTTCTTCCACCGAACCTCCCTCATCACTCCTTTCCCCCCTCGACATTAATCTTTACCAGAGCATTGTCGGTAGCCTCATGTACGCATCCGTCTGCACCCGCCCAGATCTCTCTCAAGCTGTGGGCATGCTTTCTCAATTCCTTTCCTCACCATCTACTCAGCACTTGAACGCTGCAAAGCGTGTCCTGCGCTATCTCTCCGGCTCTAAATCATTTGGTCTCCTCTTTCATGGACATGAGCATGGTAGTGTCTTGCATGGCTTTACGGATGCGGATTGGGCAGGTCCATTTTCAAAGCGTAAATCCACGGGAGGCTACATGTTTGTGATGGCGGGAGCAGCGATTTCTTGGCAATCGAAGAAGCAAGGCTGTGTGGCACTATCTTCAACAGAAGCGGAGTACATGGCTGTGACGCAAGGAGCAAGAGAGGCTATGTGGTTGCGAGGGTTGCTGATGGAGTTGGGTCTTCCCCAGCTTGAGCCGACCGTTCTCCACATTGACAACACGTCGGCAATCGCCTTGAGCAAGAACCCGGTCTATCATGGACGCACCAAGCATATTGATACCCAGTATCACTACATTCGGGAGCTGATTAAGAACAAGGTTGTGACACCGGTCTACTGCAGCACCACGGACCAGGCTGCTGATTTTCTGACTAAGATACTTCCACGGCACCTATTCGTCCTTGGACGCCACCGTGTTGGATTGGTGCCGCTCGAGTCTCTTGAGTCCTTCTCCACTGCTGTCCCTTCCGCTCCTTCTTCGTCTCGCTCTGAGGGTCAGCAGTGCGGGGGGGTGTTGCAGTGAACTGTGGCTGCTGCTCGCGTGTCACCAGGGTGGCGGGAAATTTTTCACGTGGCGAAATTTTTCGCCGCAATTTCCCCGTCAGCCAAAATCCGAATATGCAAAAGGCATCTTGCAAAAATGCCCACTCGCCACCACACCCTTCCTATCTCCAGACAGCAAAACCTACCAATCAAAACCTATCAATCCTCCACCTCAACTCTCCTCCTATCCTCATCATCTTTCTCATCCGATTATCCACCAATCAAACAAAAGATTCCATACCAAGCCTTCCAATCCAAGCCACATTCATTCCACTCACCAAGCCTTAAAATCAAAGCCAAATACATCCCATTCACCAAGCCTTAACTTCAAGGCCACATTCATTCTCTTCACCAAGCCTTCACTTCAAGGCCACATTCATCACCCCCATCTTATCCAACTCAACCAATCACAACCATTCATCCTTTCCTCATCCTTCATCCAACATCAAGCTCCACCAAATACAAAAGGGTCCTCTTCATTTCTTCAAACTAATATTCTTCAATGTTACTTCATACCCAAACTCTCAACAAGTTCTTCAAGCTCCCTCAAGGCCAACCTCAAGTCCTCCTCCTTATGCTCCAACTCCTAAGGCTTCATCATCACCACCAACCTCTCCCAACCCAAGCTCATAGCCATATGCTCCAATTCTAGAGAAGTTTGTGCCACATAGTTTTACTTCTAGATCATCAAGGATAGTTGATCTCAAGATCCTACCATGTACCTCCCTTTTGATTAATGTACTTTAAAGCTTCAAGCAAGATTGGTGTATTCTTCTACCCAAGGTCCAAGCTCCAACCTCAACATCCAAGCTTGGAGGTTTCTCTTCATTCAACAAACATTATCTACAAGTCAACATTCAAGATCAACTTCTCAACATTCAAGATTTGAGGTTCTTCATTAACAACTAAGACAACATTTAAGTTTGAAGTGAAGATCAACTTCTACAACATAATAGTAAGAACTCTTTTCAAGTAAGTGGTTATCTCTTCCTCTCATTTTTCACCAAGTTTCTTTTACATCAAAGTTCATTTGCTATTATCAAGTTGTTTTATATTCAAGCTCTTTCCATAATAATCAAGTTCTTATTCTCAAGTTCGTTACAAGCTCCTTTCAAGTATCTTTCAAGCCCTTTACCTTTTCTTCAATACTTTCTTTTAAGCCAATCTTGTTTGGTCCCTTTTATCCCTATCAAGTCTATCTATCTTATCCTTCAAAGCTTTCTTCATTCTTAATTACTCCATACTTCAAGATTTCCTTTCAACTTGTTTTTGCTTTTCAACGTGGTTTTACTTTGAACTTACCTTTTCTTTCTAGGTGTTTTCTTTCTTTCTCCTTACCATTTACCCTCCCTCGTCTATAACTTCAATTTCAAGAACAAACGCCTCCAGCGAACTGGTAGACAAATCGCAGCCTACAGTATCAGCGCGCAACGAACCGCACTAGGTTGAGAAGAAACGAGGGATGATCAAGTTTAACTAGGGCCTAGGCTTAGGAGCCTAGGCCCAACTAGGATGTCGAGTAGTTTGTGCCTAGGGTGAGAGTCGAGAAAGTTGGAAAGGATGGTTTCACTATAGGTTTCGAAGAACATATAGCAAAGGAAACAAATAAGGTGCACCACCAAACAAAGTTTATAATAACTACACTAACTACAGCTACAGGCAGTTACAAATATAAGTTCTGACACTCCCCCATAACTGCCTGCATCAGGAGTTTGTGCAGAATACAACCTGCAGGGGTACACATGCAAAATAATAAACAAGCAACAGCAGGTACTGCAGGCGGGCTAACACTAGCTGGTCACCCCCTCCATCTCCTCACCCTCCTCCTTCCCTTCCCCCACACTGCTGCAGGAGCAGCAGAGAGGGGGGGGGAAGAGAGGAGAGGTGGAGGGACGGCTGCTGGTTGCCTCACACCCGCCACCCCGGTGCCACTCCCCCGTCTCCCCCACACCCTCACACCCTCCCCCCCAGCGGCAGCTGCAGCAGTGGGAACGAAAGGAGGAGGAGGGGAAGGGAAGGATACGACCCAACGCTCCAACACCCGCCACCCCCATACCCTCCCCCCCACGGCTGCAGGGAGACAAAGGAGGAGGGGGTGGGCGGGAAGAAAGCCGCAGAGCGACTACAATGTGTCGGCGCAGGTAGGTCAGGGGCGGCTGCAGTGAGAGCAGGTGCGGAGAGGCGCGTCGCGTGCCACGGGGCGCACGACAGGTAAGTTTAAGGTAAGGGCACCGTCGTGTGCCTCGGGGCGCACGACGAGCAGGGCACCGTCGCATGCCACGGGGCGCACGACGGGCAGGTTTAGGGCACCGTCGCGTGCCACGGGGCGCGCGACGGGCAGAGTAGGAGTCACTCGCCAACCGGGGGCGGGACAATAGAAAATCGCCACGCGCCTTAGGCGCGCGACCGGAAAAACGTAGCAGCGGAAGCATGAGGCGGGCCCACAGGCCAGGACGTAACTCGCTCTGATAGCATGAGAAGAAACGAGGGATGATCAAGTTTAACTAGGGCCTAGGCTTAGGAGCCTAGGCCCAACTAGGATGTCGAGTAGTTTGTGCCTAGGGTGAGAGTCGAGAAAGTTGGAAAGGATGGTTTCACTATAGGTTTCGAAGAACATATAGCAAAGGAAACAAATAAGGTGCACCACCAAACAAAGTTTATAATAACTACACTAACTACAGCTACAGGCAGTTACAAATATAAGTTCTGACATAGGTGAGGCGACGGCGCACCACTACGAATTCTGGCAAGGGCGAATCGACAATTGACTTAGGTTGGAAGGTTCATTCTGGTACGCATCGTTCTAAAGCGGTGGAAACCGAAATACCGCTCCCAAACATGGCTGACCGTATTAGACTGCGTCAAATAAAAGAAAGTATGACCCGCCCTGTAAGGACCTTACGGAATTCGTGTCCTCCCGATGGCGCAGCAAATCAGCTCCGCAAGAGGAAGGACTGAGCGGAAGACCCATTCCGCTCGAGCGGCGGAAGAACATTCTGGTCCATTTCTTGACCACTTGCGCTGTACCGCACTTCCTGCTGTCTCCTCATTCACCCCTCATCCTCAGCAATTCATCAACTCTGGTCGAGCATGGCCCGAGTAAAAATATAGCTACTTCGTGCATTCACCAAGTGGGCCAACCTGGAGGTCCAGGAGCGTCTTTCGCGTACGCTGAGGCATAACTGATTCTCATTCCCCCCCACCGTGCAGCCATCGATTCTGAATCATGGCGCACCAGCACCTCGTGCTCGCGCTGCTGCTGCTCACGGTCACCATCTCGGCGACCGCCGTGACTACAGCGAATGGCGCGACGCTCGTTATCAGCAACGCCGACCGTAGCCTGACGGTCGACAATTACACCATCTACGGCCAAAACATTTACGACAACGAAACCGGCGTCCAAGTCAAGCCGACGAAGAACCCCGACGGGTCGCTCACGATGGAGGGCAAGTACACGTGGTACCCGAACGGCACCATCGCCGCGCCTGGTGTGACTATATACATCGCCGGCGCGGCCAGCTTCGTGGAAATCGCGAACACGAAGCTGTACGGCAAGGGCGGCATTGCGCGAAACGCGGCGACGGGCGCGGTAATTCCGTGGGTTGAGAGTCCTGACGGCTCGTTCACCGCCGGCGACATCACCGGCTGGGCGAACGGCACGTTTGTCGGCTCCAATGGCGTCGTGCTGCGAACACGCCTCTCGTTCAACCCGACGGGCGGATCGGATAGCGGTGGAAGCACCGGCGCCGGCGGAGGCACCGGCAGCGGCGGAGGCACCGGCGGCGGCGGAGGCACCGGCGGCGGCGGAGGCACCGGCGGTGGCGGAGGCATCGGCGGCGGCGGAGGCACCGGCGGCGGCGGAGGCACCGGCGGCGGCGGAGGCACCGGCGGCGGCGGAGGCACCGGCGGCGGCGGAGGCACCGGCGGCGGCGGAGGCACCGGCGGCGGCGGAGGCACCGGCGGCGGCGGAGGCACCGGCGGCGGCGGAGGCACCGGCGGCGGCGGAGGCACCGGCGGCGGCGGAGGCACCGGCGGCGGCGGAGGCACCGGCGGCGGCGGAGGCACCGGCGGCGGCGGCGGAGGCAGTGGCGGTGGCGGAGGCACCGGCGGCGGCGGAAGCACTAGCGGCGGCGGAGGCACCGGCGGCGGCGGAAGCACTGGCGGCGGCGGAGGCACTGGCGGCGGCGGAAGCACTGGCGGCGGCGGAAGCACTGGCGGCGGCGGAGGCACTGGCGGCGGCGGAGGCACTGGCGGCGGCGGAAGCACTGGCGGCGGCGGAGGCACTGGCGGCGGCGGAGGCACTGGCAGCGGCGGAGGCACTGGCGGCGGCGGAGGCACTGGCGGCGGCGGAGGCACTGGCGGCGGCGAAGGCACTGGCGGCGGCGGAGGCACTGGCGGCGGCGGAGGCACTGGCGGCGGCGGAAGCACTGGCGGCGGCGGAGGCACTGGCGGCGGCGGAGGCACTGGCGGCGGCGGAGGCACTGGCGGCGGCGGAGGCACTGGCGGCGGCGGAAGCACTGGCGGCGGCGGAAGCACGGGCAGCGGCGGAAGCACTGGCAGCGGCGGAAGCACGGGCAGCGGCGGAAGCACTGGCAGCGGCGGAGGCTTGAACCCTGACGGCAGTGTGTCGCTGGGCGCGGACTACAAGGTGCTGCCCAACGGCACGGTGGTGGACGCAGCAGGCAAACCCGTCAAGCCCGTCGCCAATCCCGACGGGTCGTTCACCGTCGGTGGCAAGTACACCGCCTTCCCCAACGGCACCATTGTGGGCCCCGGCAGGTCGGTGGTAGAGAGCGGCAAGAAATTTGCTGTCAATCCAGATGGCACCATTGCTGTCACTCCCGACCCCAGCAGCACCAACCTGACTGTCAACCCCGATGGCAGCCTGACCTTCGGACCCGGCTACACTATGTTACCTAACGGCCTGGTGGTCGACTCCACTGGAGCTTTCGTCACTCCTATTGTCAACCCGGATGGGTCGAATTCTGTTGCCGGTGACTACACGGCGTACACCAATGGCACGGTCACTGCTCCTGGTGTTTCCATCGCCACTGTCTCCTATGTGCCTGAATACACAATTGGCGCCACGACGATGCTGGACAATGGCACAGTGCTGGACGCGGCTGGAAAGACGATCAAGCCGACGGCGAATGCAGACGGGTCGTTCACAGCGGGTGACATCACAGGGTTTCCGAATGGCACGATTGTGGGCGCCAACGGTGCCGTGGTCAACACTGGCAAGCAGTTCGCCGTTGCCCCTGATGGCACCATCGCCGTCACCTCTCCTGCGCCTGGCTCCAACCCTGCACCTGGCTCCATCCCTGGTCCCATTCCGTCTGACCCCAGCAGCACCAATCTGACGTTCAACCCCGATGGCAGCCTGTCTTTCGGGCCCGGCTACACCATGCTGGCAAACGGCACGGTGGTTGACTCCTCTGGAGCCCCTGTTGCTCCCATTCGCAATCCGGATGGGTCCTACTCCGTCGGCGCTGGCTACACTGCCTACACCAACGGCACGCTCGCAGCTCCCGGTGTTGCCATTGATCGCGTCGGCGCGCCTGGGTATACGATAGGCAGCACGAAGATGCTGGCCAATGGCACGGTGCTGGACGCGGCTGGAGTGCCGATCACGCCGACGGATAATGGGGATGGGTCGTTCACAGCGGGCGAGCTGACAGGGTATGAGAACGGCACACTTGTGGGCGCCAACGGTGCCGTGGTCAACACCGGCAAGCAGTTCACCATCAACCCTGATGGCACCATCACTGTCACATCTGCTGCCCCTGGTTCCATCCCCGCGCCTGGCTCTGCCCCTGCACCTGGCTCTGAGGCTGCACCTGGCTCTGAGGCTGCACCTGGCTCTGCCCCTGCACCTGGCTCTGAAACTGCACCTGGGTCTGAAACTGCACCTGGGTCTGAAACTGCACCTGGGTCTGAAACTGCACCTGGGTCTGAAACTGCACCTGGCTCTGTTCCTGCGCCTGGGTCCGAGACTTCGCCTGGCTCAGAGGCTGCACCTGGCTCAGAGGCTGCACCTGGCTCAGAGGCTGCACCTGGCTCTGAGACTGCACCTGGCTCGAACCCTGCACCTGGGTCCAGCCCCGGTCCCACTCCCTCCGACCCCAGCGGCACCAGGCTGACGTTCAACCCGGACAACACCTTATCATTCGGGCCCGGCTACACTCTCTTGGCCGACGGCACAGTCACTGACTCCACTGGCGCCGCTGTCTCTCCCACTCGCAATCCCGATGGCTCCTTCACTGTCGGCGGCGACTACACTACCTACCCCAATGGCACGCTCACTGCTCCTGGTGTTGCTGTCAGCATGGCCGGCACGACAGGAGTCACAATTGGCAGCACGACGATGCTGGCCAATGGCACGGTGCTGGACGCGGCGGGAGCGCCCATTGTTCCCACGGATAACGGAGACGGGTCGTTCACAGCGGGTGACATCACAGGGTATGAGAACGGCACACTTATGGGCACCAACGGTGCTGTGGTCAACACTGGCAAGCAGTTCGCCGTTACCCCCGATGGCACCATCACCGTCGGCGCCCCTGGCTCTGCCCCTGCGCCTGGCTCCCTCCCTGGCCCCGTTCCTTCCCCCGGCCCCCCTCCTTCCAGCGGCGGCAGCGTGACGTTCAACTCCGATGGCAGCCTGTCGTTTGGACCCGGCTACACTCGCTTCCCCAACGGCACGGTTGTGGACTCCGCCGGTGCGCTCGTCCCCCCTACCAAGAACACAGACGGGTCTGTCTCCGTGGGCGGAGACTACACCTTCTATCCCAACAACACCTTCACTGCACCCGGCCTCTCCTTTGCTCAGACCGGCGGGCGGCTCACCATTGGAGCCACAACAATCCTGGCCAATGGCACGGTGCTGGATGGAGCAGGGCAGGCGATTCAGCCAGTTGTGAACTCGGATGGATCGGCAGCGACGGCGGGAGATCTGACGGTGTACAGCAACAGCACGATCACCGGGACAAACGGTGCGGCTGTGAGCACCTTCAGAATGACCACCATCAGCCCCGATGGCACCATCACCTTTGGCGACGTCACTCCCAGCCCCAGCACCCCCCCTGCATCTCCTACTCCCTCCTCCGCTACTCCATCCTCCGCAGCTGCCGCACCGCCACCACCCAAGCCTGCTGGTATGTTGCTTCTTCCACGCCTTTGTTCTGCTTTGGGTTGGCCACAACCACTGCTCTCGTGTTTTTGCAGCTGTACTTTCAGCCTGTTACCCCTCATTGGTTTCCTGCTTTCCGCCCCCTTCATTCTTCCCATGCGATCTCATGCCACTCTCCACTCCACCCTCCTTCCCCTTTGTCAGGCTCTCTTGCTCCACCAGTCACTGTCTTGGCCACCGCCATCACTGTTGCGCTCAGCTCCCTGCTCTTTGTGTAGAGCAGTGTGCTAAACATGAAACAACAGGAGAGACAAGTGGCAGGACCGCCAGCATGCTTCCGTACAAGTTGGCTGTTGTATTCTGAAGGGCTGTTAGGATTGTGACTAGGATTTTGCTGGCAGACCTGCCAGGGTTTTGCATTAGCTAGGTAGGTGGCTCTGATTACCTTAGAATGGCTGGCGACTGCTATTGTTTGCATGTTGCTTGACAGGTCAGATCTGTACAAGCCATGCTGGTCAATGGCATTGTGGTCTAGGATGGATAGTGGAGGCAGTTCCAACTTGAAAGAGCGGTTTCCAGTTGATTCAGGACTATTTCCAGGATATACGCCGGGTGCACAATTCCACCACTTCAAGAGCAGGGTTTCTACCTGTTGGGAACAAACAATCTTAAAGCGCCTCTGTCGTGTCCAAACACCAAGGCACAAGCGAAGCAGAGCATATCGAGGCACCAGCGAGTCAACCCTCGGAGGTTGAAGTAACCGCTGGAGGTTACGCGAAAGTCAAAGGTCAGCGACCTTTGACTTGACAAATGCAGCGCGACAGCAAGGACACACAACTGACTCGACATTGAGCAGTTGCCCGAGTCGCACTGTATCGAACCGCAACAGTAAAACAGTTTAATTATATCTCTTCGTATTCTTTGTACTCTTATATAAACCTTTGTACTTGCTTGTTTTAATCAACTTACTTTGCCCTCACATACCAGCGCAAGGTGGTTCAAGGACTTCATTTAAACGCTTCCGCTACTACATCACTCTACCCAGAGTTTAACCCTACCAAAGATCCTAAGGGGCACTCAGCCCAACATGGTATGAGAGCTGGTTAGGGTTAAAATTATTTCTCCTTAACACCTAATACACCAAGAGACATGTCTACCAGAAAGGAGAGGAGCTCCTCCAACGGCTCTCCTGGTACTACTCCTACTCCACCTCTTGCCTCTGGCCTACAGACAGAGGAAGGCACAACAACGAGACCGGCAGCTGGGTCTACTGAAACACCCGCAAACCAAGGCGCGGGCTTCGATCCAAGCATGATGGAGAAGTTCTTCTCCTTCATGTCCTTCTACGAGCAGCATCAGCAAGGAGCACCTGCGCAATCAAACAACAGCAACAACAACAACAACGTGACGCCCATGAGTCTCGATGGCTCATCCTACGCACGCGGGAATCAACAACAGCAACCTACCTTCGCTCCGTACGAGCCCCAGCGCGGCTCCGTCAGCTTCATGCCACAACCACAACCTGCACCGGGGCAAGAGAGAACGCTGGACGCACTACAAGTTCAGTCGCAGTTCGCGCACGTTCTAAAACTGCAAACGACAAAACCCTTCGACGGGAAGGATTTCTTTACCTGGTCGTTCGAATTCGAGCTGATGATGGAAGGAGCGCAAATCCTTGGCTTCTTCGACGGGTCCCTGCCATACCCAACAAACGGCACACAGTATGAGAAGCAGCAGTACACCTATCAATCGATGATGGCGTACACGATACTACTGAGGAACATCACTTCAACTCAACAACAAAACATACGGTCTTACCGAGGCTACGGCAACTCCGCGGAGCTCGCGTACAATCACTTGAAGAGCCTGTATCAAGCAACAGACAGCGTAAACCAAAGTCGGTTAATGGCGCAGCTGACAACAATCGATATGAAACCAGGCGAGAAGGGAATGGCGTATATCAGTCGCTGCCGCGAGCTGCGCGACAAGCTTCTTCGATGTGGAGGATCGATTTCAGAGGACGCCTTCGTCACGGTTGTCATCGGCGGTCTTGGTCCTCACTGGCGCTCCACTCGCGCCATACTACGAGCCCACGGGAAAATTTCTGAAGCAGCACTTTGCGCCGAAATCCACGCCGAGCAGCAAGACATGGACCTGCAAGAAGAACGACACAAGAGAAAGGTATCAGTGCCCGAATTCGCGTTTCACACTCAACGGCGCCACAACAACAACAACAATCGACCGAAAATCGTACCTCTGTTCTGCCACCTCTGCAAGACTTCAGGGCATCCTCGTACGCACTGCCCGAATCGACAACAGTCAACGTCGCCGCAACGCCAACTTCGCCCTTCAAGCAGTCAAGTCGCCTCAACGCAAGCAAATCCGACAACTTCAGTCCGGAAGGCTTTTGGTATTCACATACCATTCCTGAAGCAGAACGAACACGTGCGTTAGTAACAATACAACATTCGGCAGCAGCAGAGACAACATCGGCAGCAACAGAGACAACATCGGCAGCAGCAGAGACAACATCGGCAGCAGCAGAGACAACATCGGCAGCAGCAGAGACAACATCGGCAGCAGCAGAGACAACATCGGCAGCAGCAGAGACATCATCGGCAGCAGCAGAGACATCATCGGCAGTAGCAGGAACAACAACAGTAGCAGCAACAACGACACCACTCCTCGTTGACGGAGCACCACCAACACCCGCACAGCAGCTGAATCCGGCTCAACGGGAAGTCCATAGAAGCGCAAACTTCACCGCCAGCTTCTACTCCAACTCCGACGCGTATCGACGCTCACCCGGACACCGCGCCTCCGAAGACATCTAGCACGCACGCATGGGACACCCAAGCAACACTGTGTTAAACAACACAATAAGAGCAGGAGTCCTTGACAAGGACTCGTTACTACTACTCGACGGCAGAGAACTTCAACGGGCACGAGGAACATGTCTTACCTGCCCCGAAGCCGACTTACCACATCGGCCGTTCACTCCTCATCACAACCCGAGCACACCCGCGTACGCACCACTAGAAAAGGTGTATAGCGACATCCTGTACAATCGGGAACCAGGACAAGTAATATACAACTACACAATCACCTTCATCGACGCCGCCACCCGTTACGTCTGGCATCTAAACCTACCCAGCCGCGACATGGTCCTCGAAGCATTCGCTGCTTGGCTACCAGTAGCAGAAAGAGAGTCGGGCGTAAAGCTGAAAAGCTTCCAGTCTGACGGAGGAGGAGAATACACCTCTCAGCGATTCAAGCAGTACCTGGCGGAAAGGGGAATCAAGCAGCTCCTCTCTCTTCCCTACGCCCATCAGCAGCAAGGTGTAGCAGAAAGAATGAACAGGACTCTGCAGAACAGCATGCGCAAACTGTTGCGTGGCATGCGGCTACCCAACCACCAGTGGCCTGACGCGATGGACCACGCTGTCATGCTGCACAACTTGCTCTCATCTTCATCACTACCGAACAACGCATCACCGCATCTGCTGTGGACAGGAAAACAGGGCAGCACAAAAATGTTACGAGTGTTCGGATGCATGGTACAGTACCGACCCCCAGCAGCACGAGCGGGCCGATTTTCACAACGCGCACAGTGGGGACTACACCTCGGCATCGAAAAGAACTACAACGCGTGGAAAATCTTTGACGTCCACTCCAAGGAAACAGTAGCAGCACGCGACTTCATTTTCTACGAACGACTCACGCTCCAGACATACCTTGACAACCTGCAAGATGACCAAGATCCCACAGGTGGTTTTCGTGGTGACCGAGCCTTCGCCTCGGCAGCAGACGAAGCTGACTGGGACGAGCAGAATGTGGCCAACGCATCAGAAGAAGCTGGACCCCTTCCGTTCTGCTCCGTCGACGTCCCCATGGACGAAGACAACCCTCGCGAAAGTGTCAACGCCGAAACCTTCTACTACTTCGCCGACAACGGTTACGTAACACCTGCGACAGTCAACACCAACGAAGCAGAACGAGTAGGACCGAATTTCATACCTGATCCAGAAGCGGGAGATGAAGCAGCTTATCCCGAGGATGCAACTCTTCCCCGCTACTCACAGACTGGACTGCAGATTCTCGGACTCGTCACCGCAGTCCACGGCAAGTTGTCCCCATCAGCATGGCAAGGAACAAGATAATTCTCACCGGGAAATGGGTCTTCCGCGTTAAAACAAAAGCAGACGGCACAATTGAGAAGTTCAAAGCACGCTGGGTTGTGCGTGGATTCGATCAGGAGCACGGACGGGACTTCACCGAGACATTCGCCCCGGTTAGCCGACATGCCTCACTTCGAATCCTCCTCGCGATCGCCGCCATGAAGAAAAGGAAGCTACGGCAAATCGATGTCGCCAACGCGTTCCTCTACGCACCTGTCGACGTGGAAATCTTCGTCGAGCTCCCACACGGTACCAACGGGGAACCTAACCAAGTCTGTCAACTGCTGAAATCACTTTACGGGATCAAGCAAGCTCCGCGGCTATGGCAACAGTACCTACACGCTCGCCTCATTCGCATCGGATTCCGCCAACTACCTCACGACCAAGGAATGTACCGACTCACTAAAGACACCGACTACATTCTGCTGATCGTCTACGTAGACGACCTACTCTACATCGGCTCCACTGACGACATCACCACCTGGTTCGAAGGGGAGCTACGGAGGGACCTCACACTCACGGTCTCCTCTACCGTCACACAGTACCTCGGCTTGAACATTCGGGAAGAAGAAGGCGCGATCTACCTCAACGCCGCTAAGTACGCCGACACCATCGCCAAACGCTTCGCGCTCACACCTACCACCATCTCTACGCCCTACCGCTACGCGACAGGAAACCACAAGGAAGGATCCTCTCTACTCAAATCCGCCGGGATACGCGACTACCAGAGAAAGCTAGGATGCCTTCTCTTCGCAGCTGTCACCTGCCGCCCCGACCTCTCATACTCCGCAAGCCAGCTCGCCACCTACCTCAAGAAGCCTGAAGCAGAACACCTGGCGGAGCTCGACCGCGCTCTCCACTACTTCGTCAGTACCTCAACGATCGGCCTAACTTACTACAAGAACACAACTACACCGACTAAATTAATCGGCTACGTCGACGCTGATCACGCTAGCGACTCCGACAACAGGCGCTCCCGCACCGGCTACATCTACCGCCTCGAACCTATCGGACCGATCTCCTGGCAATCGAGCAAGCAGGAATTAATTGCTCTCTCGTCAGCTGAAGCAGAGTATATTGCACTCTGCTCAGCCACCAAGGAAGGACTCTATCTTCGCGAGCTGCTGGAAGAAGCGAAGTTAGCCATTTACCCAACTTCACTCTGTTCTGCGACAACCAATCTGCAATTCGCATCGCCAACAAAAATGGATTCGCGAACAGAATGAAGCATATCGCTCTGCGATATTTCTTCGTGAAAGACGAGATTGAGAAGGGGAGACTTGAACTATCCTACTGTCCCACGTCCGAGATGGCAGCTGACTACTTGACCAAGAAGCTCGGAAAACAGAAGTTCGAGTACTGCATGCTGCTGACTGGACAAAGCCACGTCACCAGCAGCGACACTCCAGAAGCGAAGGGGAGTGTTGGGAACAAACAATCTTAAAGCGCCTCTGTCGTGTCCAAACACCAAGGCACAAGCGAAGCAGAGCATATCGAGGCACCAGCGAGTCAACCCTCGGAGGTTGAAGTAACCGCTGGAGGTTACGCGAAAGTCAAAGGTCAGCGACCTTTGACTTGACAAATGCAGCGCGACAGCAAGGACACACAACTGACTCGACATTGAGCAGTTGCCCGAGTCGCACTGTATCGAACCGCAACAGTAAAACAGTTTAATTATATCTCTTCGTATTCTTTGTACTCTTATATAAACCTTTGTACTTGCTTGTTTTAATCAACTTACTTTGCCCTCACATACCAGCGCAAGGTGGTTCAAGGACTTCATTTAAACGCTTCCGCTACTACATCACTCTACCCAGAGTTTAACCCTACCAAAGATCCTAAGGGGCACTCAGCCCAACACTACCCAGTAGAGACCGTCTTCCACGCTACAAAACTATAGGCTGGAACTTAGTTACGCCGCCGGAGAAAACAGCGATCATCATTCATCGCCTGATGTGTAGGGCCAATGATACCATAGATGACATGACATTTGAGAGGGGCTTATAATGAAGGATTCTTTTAGGCGCTTAGATCTGGGGTTTCTAATTGTACTATTCTTTACGCTTAGATATACTTTATATGATATGCACAGTCCACTTTCCAAGGTGTTCACTACACACATCTGTGCTCAATCAGACTCATGACTCACAATACAGTATCTCAAACCTATCCTATATGACAATGTCATTGACCAGCATGGCTTGTACAGCAACAGAATCTGTCAAGCAACATGCACACAATTGCAACCGACAGTCATTCTATGGTAACCAAAACATTTAGAACTTCCAACCCGTAGCCACTGCAATACCCTAACAAATCCCCCAGCAAAATCCCAACAGCCCCTCAGAATAGAACAGCCAACTTCAACGGAAGGACGCTGGCGGTGCTGCCACTTGACTTGTGTCCTCACAGTGCACTTGGTACCGGTACTGTGATTTTGATATTGTCACTGACTTGACTCTCCTGTTGTTTCATGTTTGACACACTGCTCTACGCAAAGAGCAGAGAGGTGAGGGCAACAGCAATGGCAGTGGCCAAGACAGTGACTGGTGAGGCGAGAGAACCTGGTAAGGGGAGGACAAGGTGGGAGTCACATGAGAGCAATAGAAAACCATTTGTGGAAGCAAAAGAAGGGTGGGAGAAGGGCATGTGATTGTCTCGGAAGAAAGGGGGAGGGGGGGGGAGGGAGGGAGGGAAGGGGCGGGGGACGAGGGGAAGCAGGGAAGCGAGGGGTAACATGCTGAGATTACAGTTGCAAAAAACGACAACAGTAGAAGCGATCAACCCAAAGCAGAGAAACCAACTCAGAAGAAACATACCAGCAGGCTTAGGTGGTGGCGGTGGGGCAGAAGGGGAGGAGGGAGTATGAGATGCTGGGGGGGTGCTTGGGCTGGGGGCGGGGCTGGGACTGGGGATGGGGCTGGGGGCGGGGCTGGGGCTGGGAGCACCTGACAAGTGGAGGGCAGGACGGAGTTGGGACAGCGGGAGTAGAGTCACATGAGAGAGCTAACAAACGAATAGTGGAAGTGATGTAAGAGATATTGTAGAATAACGGTGTCGGGGACATGGGCACGCGGCTGCCTGGGAAGAAAGAAAGGGGGCGGAAACAGGGAAACAGGAGAGAGGAAACGGGCTGAAATGAAAGCTGTGGGAAACGAGAGCAGCAGATATATCCAACACAATGAAGAACAAAGGCACAGAAAGCATCATGGCAGCAGGCTTGGGCGGTGGCGGTGAGGCTGCAGGGGAGGAGGGAGTACGGGAGGAGGGAGTAGGGGAGGAGGGAGTAGGAGATGCAGGGGGGTTGCTGGGGCTGGGAGAAGGATGAGCAGCAACAAAGCTGATGGTGTCAATTGTTGCTGTTTTGAATGCGTTCAATTGAGCAGTGGGCGTCGGAGTGGGCATGACAAAGGTGAAGGTGAGCAGTGAGTGTGCCGTTGTTGTGGACGGTGAAGTCGAGACCTCTAGCGGAATCAACCACCAGGGGGCTAAGTATGAGGAAGGCATAGCTGCTTTCGGAATACAGCGAGCTAACTGTCGCCGCGCACCACCGAACCGCCGAACAGGATTGACGGGCTTGCCAGAGGAGTCCACAGCAGTGCCGTTGGGCAACAGAATGTAGTCCTTGCCGAAAGGCACACGGCTGTTGGGGTTTACACCCCGCCATTGCCCGTGCTTCCGCCATTGCCCGTGCATCAGCCCGTGCCTGTGCTCCCATGCCAGTGCCTCCGCCCATGCCCGTGCTTCCACCCGTGCCCGTGCCCGTGCCCCCGCGAGTACCTGTGCTCCCGCCGCCGCGGGTGCCGTTCGATGGCTTGAATCTGAGGCGCGTTCGCAGCACGACGCCGTTAGAACCGAGGAACGTGCCGTTCGACCAGCCCGTGATGTCGCCGGCAGTGAACGTCTTCGCGGCGTCGTCCTCAATCCACGGGATCACATTGTTTGTCGCGGCGTCCCGCGCGACGCCGTCAATGCCGAACAGCTTCGTCTTCGCGATTTGCACGTAGCTGGCCTTGCCGGCGACCGCTATAGTCACACCAGGCGCGACGATGGTCCCATTCGGGTACCACGTGTACTTGCCCTCAACCGTGAGCGAACCGTCGGGGTTTTTCTTTGGCTTGACGATGGCTTTGGTTTCGTTGTCGACGATGGTCTTGCCGTGGATGGTGTAATTGTCGACCGTCAGGCTGCGGTCCGCGTTGCTGATAATGAGCGTGCCGTGCTTCGTTGTGGTCACGGCGGACGTCGAGATGGTGACCGCGAGCAGCAGCAGCGCGAGTGTGAGGTACTGGCGCTCCATGGTCGTTATCGCCGCAGGCAGCAGGTGAGCGCGACGGAGGAGAGAGTTGAGCTATGCCACAGCGTGCGCGAAAGATGCCGCGCTGGCTCACATAAATGTCCGAAGTAGCAAAATCCTTGCCAATTCTAAAATCGCCTGGAGTTGATATGGGTGGACATGGAAAAGTCAGCGAGGAGAGCACGACCGACGCAAGCAGTGCAGAGGTCGAAGCTGCCTGCCAGTTCCTTCCGACTCTTCTTGCGCTGCCCCGGCGGAATGCTTCTTCCGCTCGCTCGGTCCTCCTGGACGAACAGGTGCGCGGTATGCGCCATCCACCACACCACACAGAGCACGAAATCAAAGTCCCTGCCCGAAGTTGGGTTCGGTTTGGTGGTGGTGCGCCGCCTCCCCTAGGGCGATTCGTGGATAGAGTGGTCCGGCTGGTGCGTGATGATTCGCCGCGACGACAGGAATCCGACCGTCCCAGTCGTGGCGGTTATTTATTGGCTGACGTAAAGTCATATTTGGAGTTGCAAGATTCACTGGCTGCAATTTTTTGCGGCGGTACAAGCCTCGTAAATGGGGGTGAGGAGGGGTGGGTGGTGGTTGGGGGGGACCATGAGTTTGTGGCGGCCAGGAGTGCGCATCGAGCACCCAAGCCTGGTCTTGACGACCTGAGCATGATTGGCCACTTCCCTTCTAGGTAAAGGTAAGGGCGCGTGTCTTTTGGTGTAGACTGTCAAAGTTCGAGCCTAACACCGCTTTGTACCGTGGCGACAATTCTACCAACTGTATCTTACCGTCTACTTCCCTACTAATTTTCGGCACTAGTTTAGGGGTTGTTGTTGATTGATTTTTGCGGGGTTTCAAATATTCGAAAATTATGACCGCGAATTTATATGACCTGAGGAGATTAACTCTACAACGGTGGGAGCTAGACTGCAGAGTAGGCACGAGTTGTAGGAGTGATCGTAGCTCTGTCTGTGTTCTCTAGGACTTGTGTTTTCACAAGGCAAAACAGCAAGAGTTTCACTAAGGAAAAGTTGAGAATACAGAGTTCAGAATGAGAAAGCAATGGCAAAGATTTACTACATCACATGCAAGGTTTGCTAGCACTCAGGCAGGTTGATCGCCAGCACGACAAAGTCGTCGACCTGCCAACGGAGCAAGTTTGCGGTCCGCCAACGCAGCTCGTACTCGACTTGCCAACGCTGCAGATGGCGGCCTGCCAACGCAGCATCCGCGCGGCTTGCCAACATTGCATCCGCAGGTGATTGTAAGCACATGTGCAAGCACCTACTTCGCATGTGCTTGTAGATAGTTATGCACGACGTGCACTGTCACACACATTGCGCAGGTTGTCAGCCACATGCTGACGGTTGCACCTGATGAGCCACGTCGACCACGTGCTGCCACGTCGGTCGACTTCGCCACAGCAACATCAACGACGTTCGCGACCCTCCGCAGAACCTCGTCGAGCAGGTAACCTGGTCAACCAGGTAAAGTCCTTGACAACCCTGCAGGATAATGACTTTCGTCATCACCGGTTGACGACCTTCGTCGTCGCGGGTTGACGACCTTTGTCGTCGCGGGTCGACGACCTTTGTCGAACACCTTTGTCGAACACCTCGGTCGACATTTCAAAATGTCAGCTCTTGATTGGTCGAAATTAAGGCACATTCGAATTTCTGGCCAAAATTCGCCTGTGCAGTCTCAAGGGTGCGCAGGGTCAGACGCGACCCTGCGCAGACGAACACTCGCGAACCTCTGTACGAGCTGCGCCACTTGTAAATGTGCACGAGACATCTGTGTTGCACTCGCGGATGCTTCAGTTACTCTTGCATGGATTCCCTAGTACACCTCGTGTACAGACAACCCTTGCCTGCAGAAAGTCGGCTGCACCTCCCGCACACCCGACCACGAAGTCAGTTTTGCCTATGCGAGGGCGGGGCCAAATTCCTTCAACATGACCGTATATGATTGGACGCGCAATGTCGAAACATGCACGCGCATAAAACAGACCAATCACGCACGGTCATTTAATGTAGCTCTTGTTGACGGCCGTGCATTTCAGTATATGATCGGGGAATCATATGACTGTGCTCGGATTGGTCATTCGGCGAAATTTTCGGGTGGGAAATACTACGCAACGCTTGCGCGGGATGAGACGAGTACGTGAGAGGAATTTCAGGGCTAAATTCCTTGTAGGGTAATGCGCCGGGAAAAAAAAGCCAGCAGGAATCCCCCGTGCCGACATGTTCTGTCAGCCTCCCAGAAGGGAGTTCGTACGGCTCACTCTGGGAGTGGATATACCTCAACCTCGTTGACCCAGCGAGTCTAAACAATTGGGGAGGCGGGTTACGACTGACAGCCAGATGTGGGTAACACCCAGAGAGGTTTCCCCCCCTCCTTTACCTTTACCTTTACCCCTTGCGTGGCCACTCGAGTAATTATCACCAAATTTGGTGGCCACTCGAGTAATTCGAGGCCACGCGAGCAAGGCTGAATCACCGAACAGGGTTCAGGAGCAATTCTCTCGTTGGTGTGGGTGGACATGGATGGGCTAGCGGGGAGAGGACAACCAAGCGGTCCAGAGATGCGACTCTTCTTGCGCTGCCCCGGCGGAATGCTTCTTCCGCTCGGTCCTCCCCGGCGAACGGGTGTGCGGGATGCGCCCCATCCACCACACAGCACGAAATCCAAGTCCTTTCCATTCCGTGATTTGGGTTGGGTTCGGTGGTGGTGCACCGCCGCCTCCCCTAGGGCGATTCGTGGATAGGGTGGTCCGGCTGAGGCGTGATGATTCGCCACGACGTTAGGAAGGCGATTGTCTCAGTCGTGGCGGTTGTCTATTGGCTAGCGTCAAACTCGAATTTGCAGATGCAAGGCCAAGATTCACTGGCTGCGATATTTTGCGGCGTCTACAAACAAGACATCGCATGGGGTGAGGAGGGGGGGTGACTGGGGAGGGGGTCTAGGTGTATTTGTGGCGGCGGAGTGCGCATTAAACAAAAAGTTCATACGCGCCCAAACAGTAAAACACGAGCGAATGCGGGATCGCTTCCGCGTGCTCGCGGAAGCGAGCTGCCCGCGGGCAAGAAAAAAACTAAAACCCACTCGGAAGGCATGCGGTTCGAGAGCATCAACCCTAAAATTTTAGGGTTTAGGCTCCCGAACGGCATGCCGGTCGCGATGGGGAATAGTTTTTTTGCCCCGGGCAGACAGCTTCCGCCAGCTCATGCGTCCTGGTGGGTTCGAAACCCACCAGGAGAGGCACCTGGTGGGTTTGCGCCCACCAGGGATCGGATGAATCGGCGAAATCGCGCGCATCGGCGGAAATCACGTTTCTCTCAATTGAATCGACCTAAATTGCTCCGACTTCGCCACGTGGGCGTTTTTTATAATTGGATGGACCGCCTTTGCCCCCGGGCCCCCCCACCCGATTTTCCCGCCCTTCCCCTCCGAAAATCGGGCAGCCGTGTGTACTCCCGTGAAATCACAAACAGTCACGAATTCAAAATACTAGGCGTTTTGATTCTTCAATGTTGAACGACGTGCGCGTTCGGTTGTGCCAGCAGCCGTTGTAGTACCTTTACTATATTTCTCATTTTCGTATAGATATAACCAGTAGTAAAAATCTGAAATATTCTGAAATTAGTCATAGATGGAGCATAACAACTAAGTAGAATATGAAATATAATGAGATAATAATCAGTAATATGGATTTTATTGATTTTATGCAACTGGAGTAACCAAATATTTCAGAATCTTAATAATAGGAGGTTAATATTGTTTTTTCTAATCAATATAAAGCAGTAAAGTCAAACAAAGTATCTAGCTTATTCAAAAATAGTTAAATTTGATTTGGCTTGGAGTGATTATTACTATAAGTGAATAAAATTTTACTTGAGATTGTTATTTGATGTCTCCCAGATTTAGCTTTATGTAAAGATATTAACAAACTATAGGTCATTTGTAATGTTTTTTCTTGCGCCCCTATTTAACCGCCGAAATATCAAAAGTCTATTGCGAAAGCTGATGTGGCATGCCACAACTACATGGAGGATTTCGCATGAAGTGGAGACCATGTATTCGGGACTGTTTGTGATTCCTTAAAATTCCAGCGAGTGCCCGAATTTCGGAGGGGAAGGGAGGGAAAATCGGGTTGGGGGGTGTGAAGAATGAGGAATGAATTGACTAGGAAACATGTGGGTACAAGTAGGAAACCTAGAAGTGTTGTACCCTATAGTATCTACCCCACTACAGCCTAGATAGACCATAGCATATAAGTTTGACACACCCCCATAGGCAAAGTGGGGGAGAACAAGAGGTCACAAGACCAGTCAAGCAAAGCACAGCAAGCTCAGGGTGGATCACAACGTCACCACACATTCCGAGCACAAGGCCAAGGCCACAAGGCCAGTTCACATGCAAGATTATATATAAAGGTAAACAAGCAAGTGCAGGTATAGATAGATCACAGTACAAGCAAGATCAAGAAGTGAGCAAGTGAGGCCAAGTAGGCACAAGACCTAACATCGTACAAAAGCGCTGATGATCACAAGGCTGAAGTGCCTTGGTAAAGATATCAGTAGTGTTGGCCTGAGAGGCCACGTAAGCAAGGCGCAGCTGACCACGCTGCTGCAGCTCACGAGCAAGGAAGTAGCGAAGAGCAATGTGCTTCGTTCTGTGCTCCAGTCTGTGCTCCCGACTCAAGGCCAGCATGGCCTTGTTGTCTACGTACAGAACTGGAGGAGAACGAGGCGGCTCTCCCTGGTCGGTCAGCAGGTAGGTGAGCCAGCGTAACTCCTGTGCAGCCATGGCCCCTGCGTAGATCTCGGCCTCACAGCTGGAGCCGAGAACAGAAGACGAGCGGGTAGACCGCCACGAAACAGAGCCGGAACCAAGACTAAAGGTGTAACCCTGTGACGACCGCTGCGTAGCCAAGTCGTCAGCCCAAGACGCGTCTGCGTGACCAGTCAGGACCACTGAACTCCGCCCTCCAAGCACGAGCCCCATGC